GTACTTCTCATACCTAGATGCGCTTCATTCGGACATTATTGCACTACTTACAGGACGTAAAAATTCCACCGATCGTCCAAATCAATGAAACTTGATCCATCAACGAAGAACAGAACGAAAGGCTCCATGCGTGTCAGGTAGGAAGAAAATGCCTCGAAGTCAGGCGAAGCGTAATCAACAAAGTGCACTACAAATTCTCGTGATTTTCCATCGCTTTTGATTGTGTAACCAGATTTTAGCTGACCGAACGGCTTAAACATCAATTCTTCTTGAAATGTTTCTAGAAAGCGTGCCTTTGAAGTGATGAGCTCTTGAGTGTAAAATTTCTTTAATATCTTGTAAATATCATCAGGCTAAGCAAAATAACATTATTTGAGACATAAATTACCTCAGCTCCGTTAGATAAACTTCGAGGTATTTTCTCAGAATATCGGATGTCGATGAAAGTAGACAAGCTACCAGCCATGTAAGCAATTGTAACGTCAAGATCCTTATACCCAAAAATGGTTTCGCTGGGAGTTTGAGTGTTAAATAAAAGATATTACCTTTCACCAAACACTTGGTGAGTCATGTCTGGATTAAATGATTCATCAGAATCAAGGTCTTCTTTTTCACGAACTAAAAGCACCCAAAAGAACATCACAACAGAAAAATCGAAATCCACCTGTGTTGCATAGTGACAACAGACGAACGCGACAAACTGGCCCATGTGGTTAACATGTGACACAAAATTTATACGAAAAAATAACTCGTTAAATTTTAGTGCAACTAGAGTACGAATTTGAGTGCGAGAGTAAGAGGCGCATATCGACACAGCCGTCAGCATGAAAATTAAAGCAGTTCAAAGATAATAAACATGTTTCCAGCATCGACGTTAATTGTGTTATTGGATTTATCAATGTGAAAATAACCAAACACGTTTAAGTGGCCCACATAACACGGTTCACCGAAAAATTCGAAGATATAGTCCCATCACGGCGAAATACAACTTCTCAACATTTCACGTCATTTAGAAAAGGCATTGAGGTGCAATTTATAGTAAATTAATGCCTATCCCACTTATGCCAATAGCAATGCGATAGAAAAACCAAAACGATAAAACCGTCTACATACACTCCACTTAAAATTGACAACTAACAAAACCCAATCACCCGGCATGCACGATGTCAAAAAAATTGGTCATGGTCTTAACCTCTCATCAGTGATTCATCTTCACAAAAAAATGGGAAATTACCACCATGTAGTAGCGATGGTGGAGGCCATTTACGTGATATAAACGTCTAAGTCCTAACATACCATAACATTTGGAAGCAAAATATTTTCATTAAGCTTACTCAATTTAAAGTGCACAACGCCAAGGGCATCAGCCTCATATTCATTAATAATACTACTTAAGCTATTCTCAACACCCATTTTTCAAAAACAGAGCGGGCTATTTCGACCGTATGACACAGCCGACCGACCAATCAAATCATTAAAATGACAAAATCCGCATTTTAAAGTCAACCNTTAAATTACTGCAAAACAAGATCTTGGAACATTCTCTAGTTGTGTCAGAAAATAGACACGTTAAAGTGGTCAATTAC